TTCATAAGCCTCACTCCAGAACTTGAAGTAGGCATGCCTCCATGATTTCTTCAAAACCAATGATCACCAACTGCCCAAAATCCGGAGATAAACCCCATTGCCAAGCTAATGTAGAACACTAATTGGCTGAAAAATTGATCATCGTCTTCAAGACCAAGTCCATCATTTTCATGATCATCTCTAGCTTGCTTAGCTGGACATCTAGGGAGGGGAGCTCCACAGAGATCAAGATTTCCCACATAAGCAGGCGCATCAAAGCGTTGAAGTTGCGTTCCGTGTGGGATTTCTCCAGATAGTTTACTGAATGGTGAGTCCATTACTCTGAGGCGATCTATATGTGCACATTCAGATGGAATTCTTCCAAACAAATGGTTTCTTGATAGATCAAGTGAGTCCAATGACTCCAACTGTCCAATGCTTCGAGGGATTTCTCTGTTAGTCTTGTTTCTTGACAAGTTTGAGGAAACCAATCCAACGAGATCCATCATTTCGCTTGGAATTTCTGCAGTTGACGTGTTGTTGGAGAGATCAATACTCTTCACTAGTCCCAAGATAGTTTGATATGTAGCTTCTGTACCTTTTCACACAGGTGATGTGCTATCTTCGAATAAATAATTGACTAAAAACCCGAACACTACCACTACTCCCGTAAGACCACGGAGTTCATTATCTAAAACCGAATAACTTATATTCACATCATAGTTTGTTTTATCAGCCAAAGCAGAAAGATTGTTGAGGCATTTGGGTAGACTTCCTGAGATGTTTTTCATGGAGAGATCAAGAATTTGAACTTGACAAAGATGGAAAATATTGAAGGGCAAGCTACCAGCAAACATAGTGGACCTTAGAATAAGTACACGCAACAAACCCAGTGCATCTCCAATCCAACTTGGAAATAATCCAGAGAAATTGTTTTCGGCAACATCAAATGGATGGCATTTCACCAGCAAGTTTGTTGTTTGCAAAATGAAATTCTCGAATTTGTCTCAGGGTACCCAGTGAATCAGGAATCTCTCCGAAGAATCTTTTATTTGCGACACTAAAGAAGATCAAGCATTCAAAATATTTCCAGCAATCAGGAAGGGCTCCAGACAATTGAAGTCATTTATGATCCCAAATAACCATGTAATCACCAAGGAAATTTTTACTTAATAAGTCCAATTGCCAGAATCACAACAATCAATAAGAAAAAAGGAGATTATTAAAAGTGTCAGTGTGTATGATCTTTTTTTTTTTTTTTGAAAAAAATAATTTTGTTTTAAAAGACCCTAACTTTTTTTCCAGCTATATCTTGAGGATTTTAAGTTTTCAACTCTGATCACAATATTATCGAAATCTGATCCTATCTTAAATTTAGTTATGCATCATGAATGCGCACGTGTGTTTGGTCCTGGAAAAGAAGCTTGATGTCCTTCCTTCCTTTGATCGCAAGGTTCATATATAAATTGTTACAGGTATCTAACCCGGAAAAAAAAAAATTGTTGCAGGTAGAAGACAACACAAGAAAAGAATTTAATGGCAACGAAAAGATATTGAGAGATGCTGTATCCACAAATCTAAAGCTATCAAATAGTACATCATTTGTTTCAATTTTTCCCTTTTTATAGACCGTCCCAAAAGTTTCTCAGAATCAGAATTTCTTATCACATTCAAGTAGTGTTGTATTAGCTCTCATTGTAACTACCTAATAACTCTTTCTTATCTTAACAGAGGAAAAGATTTCAAATAAATAACTAAAAAGACGAGTATCATGAATTTAAAGCGTGGCATGAAGTTGGAAGTTGGAATCCTGTCATGACCAAGCAAAAGATCCAGATGTTGTCTTGTCTCACAACATACACAAATTGGGATGACTGTGTTCTTCATTTTGCTGTTCCCTTTTCCGTTCACTCTTTTCCAGTACAACTGTGAGAAATCTTCACTTCATCCTGCTTTTGGCATTCAGTTGGCAAGTCTTTTTCCTTTTTCCTTTTTTGTCTCCATTACTTATCTTTTGTTCTAATCTCTACCATCATGCACAAAATCATCCAACATACCTGAGCCAATGAAGATACACTAAAGGCCCAAAAAAAAAAAAATCGTCCATTTATTAAGTTCCCCAGACATTAGGATCTCGTCCACAATGACAAGGGGGAGTATGAGCACAGACCAAAGTCGTGGATAGAGCTACATGCTAATCGCACCTATATGAAACAAAGTAAAGAGACAAGGAATTTTCTTGTGATTTCCTTTTGATCAAGTTAATCGACAGACCAAAGAACTGCTTAGCATAGAGCTGCATGCCTTTGAGGTTGATTCACGTTGGCTGACCGCAGGAGTGTCCTTTTCGGGTTGAGATGAAGCAGCCTCTAGCGTCTTGAAAAATTCTTCAGGGAGAGGAGGAGGTCGATGGTAAGGAATATGCTTAGGAATTGGCGCATCATTCTCAACAACTTCACATTAATAATCATCTGGGACACCCCATGGATTCCACTCTGCATTCAACATAAAGCATGAGCGCGCGCGCACACACTCATTAAATCCTACGTTTTACATTATTTCTAAAAGTGGATTCACATTATTCCAATAGAGACAGCTAAAATCGTACCAATTCATCAAAGTAAAGATCTTAAAAATGCAAGACATATAATGGCCAGAATGATTTTATTTTAGTGATCAAAGATATTATTCTAGGATAAATGATGTCCACCAAATTGTCTGGTAACTCATCTTTACATACGATTTGCCCCATATTATATAGTTACAGGTGTGGGCTAAGGTTAAAAGGAGTTTCTACATAGTCGTATTAATTGGGAGAGGCGAGAGCCTTGGAGAGGGCTGCATGAGAAACAGGGAAGGGAATGAACCAAGGCAGCTACTGTAACAGCCAGAGAAGATTTTTGAAGAAGCTTCAGCTGGGAGGTTGCTGGCTCTTCTATCGCCAGGCAAGTCTTCTGTATTTTCTGCAATTTTCATCCACTGCCACCTGTGAGTTCTGGTATGTGAGGTTGAATTATTGGGAATTAGAAACTCACCCGACGGGTAACCAAGAAATGCCAACGATACACTAAAGCATAACCTGCGCTTATTCTCAGGGAAATTATTTTGTTTTTATCAGTCGTCTATATATATCACATATTCTTCTCAAACTAGAAGGATGAACAAAATCTTCGGAAGAATATTTGATCTATTTCACAGGATGTATTTCCGCTTGATAAGATTGCTGGGATTCAAGTCTTTCGATCAGAGCTTTATTTGGCACTGGCATATATAATACCTAGTTCGAGAGAACTAGTACGTGGTTCAAGAACAAGAGTGCAAAGAGGAAGTTAAAATTCATGCCAAATACTAAGTTTTTTTATGTTGCAACTTAACCGTGTACTTCGTAGAGCAAATAAAAATGGAATGTCTATATTCTGGACCTATTTTAGTACTTTTCACATAATTTTTGCCTTGAAAAGCAATAGGAGTCTCAGTAGACAAAGCAGAGCCTCCGCCAACCAAGAAACAGAGTGGTTTCTAATGCAGATAAACAGTGAAACAATTTCATGCTATACAGTGGTTCACAAATGGAAATAAATACAAAGAAGAAATTCAGATAAAAGCTTCCTTTCATACTCCACTAAATACATTATACAATCATCACGAGACTGATTCCCCGGTCCTCCAAATTCTCACCAACGAAATAATTATTACACGGATAACAACGCAGCTAAATCAGCTAACTTTTCTATGTTGAGTTAAATTTTCCACAATTTCCCTTCCTCACCAAAAGTAATTTTCTTGCCAACATTCATCAACACCGATCATTATCATCAATCCCAACAGCAGAAAGAAAAAGGGATACACCAACATTCAATACCGATCATTATCATCAATCCCAACAGCAGAAAGAAAAAGGGATACATCAACATTCAATACCGATCATTTTGCTGATGAGTGTGAGCTCATCCTGAGCCTCTTCGATGAGCTCCTCGACCTGGCCACAGCCAAGGCGCTTCTCGATCATTTCCCAATCTCTCTTCCTCGCAAACGTTGAGCCTCTGCCTTGTGAAGCTCTCTACGGCCTTACGGTAGCCTTCATCCTCAAGGACGGCCTGGACCTCCTTCAGGGTTTTAGTGTAGAGACCGATCAGAACCTCCCGCACGTTCGGCACCACATCCAGGCCCACGATCCCCGTCGTCTCCTTCACTTTGGCCATCAATGGCCGTGCAACCGTGCGCAGGAACATTTCGCAGAGAAAAATTTGCGTCGCACCCGATCACTGTGTCATCGGTTTGGCCGCGTGTTGACATTTGCACTCTCTTGTTCAAAGGAGCGCGACCGGTGACGCTCTGACCCGAATGAAAATTGCAAATTGGGTCGGGTAGGATTCTTCCTTTTTGGGCCAAAGTCGGGGTAGGATTCTGGGATGAGGTTTCGTAGCAATTTGCCCCCTTGCTACATGCAATTGTTGCGAATGTATCCCTAAATTATCGTACAAATTTTGGAAATTTGTGATGCATACGTGAAAATTAGTGAATTAATCTATAATTCGTGAGAGAGCCAAATATTAATTTTCTAAATGAACTTTGAATAATTCGGATAATTTGTATTTAACACTGTTTATTTTTCTTTTTAAAATTTTCATTTTAATAGTCATAGAATCTGATTGAAATGATGTGAAAATTTGGATAATTTTTTGAAAAAAATAAATTTAAACGTGCAAATAAATCTATAACTAAACAATAATAATTATAAATATTTTTGTGAAATATATTTATATATAATATAAAAAAAACCATAGAAAATACTCTATTTTAGATTGCATGATCTTCACGTAGTTTATTCATATATAATAACTTATAAACCCCACCTCTTTAATAGGAAGAAAAATTCTCCCTACCCTGTTTCTAAACAAAGCAATGGATGTTCAATATTTAAGCTCACCTGATTAGAGCAACACGTGCCAATAAGTTTGTGCTCAAAAGCATCATGAAGGATAATTTTCACAATTATTCTTACACACACCGTGAATCAGTTTGAAGCTCAAAGCAATATCTCAAATCAAACCACACAACAAGCACATGTCGATATATTGACTCCGAAAAACCAGTGTCCGATTTTACAGTGCAATTATTTATTTATTTTGCAAACTAAACTAGCAGAACATAAAAGGCTTGAACAATTATCACAAACATAGCTCGTTTAATTTTCCGTCGCAAACTTGCACAGCAGATGGATAAAACAAATGCCTTAACATTTTAGTACTCATCGGATGACGATGGAAGAACCTTACAGGGCAAACTTGTGAAGCAGCTAGCTTCCCCACGTAAAGGACTGCAATATCGATAGATCAAAAGTAGAAGTAGTTTGTTAGTCAACAAAGTCAAAGTGCTGAAAAATAGTGAACTAACTTAACACATAGTTCCAGAAAAGGATATACATTTAAGTTTCAGCATATATAAATACCTATTTCTTGAATAGTTCTTTGCAAGAAAGCCCTTAACATTGTCGATCGGTTTCCCTTGTGGTATAAGAAAAATGTAGCACTTATTTATCATCCGAAGAATCTTCAAAATATACTTCGAAAATATATATCGTGCATTTACTTATTTTTAAGAGGCTAAAAATATTAGCTTTCTGTTTCTTCTGTGTACTGCAAAAAAAAACTTTAGTTTTCGAAGTATTTTCCCGTGAATAAAAACACCCAAGTCCCTCCCAAAGAATGTATTTAAAAATATATTATAATGAAATTATTAGTTCCCTTGCAGAAAAAATACAAAATGATACTACCTCTGGACCTTAAAGTAAAATACTCTGACTACCCTTCTAATTTATATCAATTACACGGACCTCTCTTCTACTTTAAAAATATAAAGTTTGGTCCAATTAGTTAACACCGTTAGGAATATTTTAAAAATATTATTTTTAACTAAAATTTATATCAAAATAAAATTTATTGATTATTTTACTCCTCATTCTAATAAATTCTTAAACTACATTTTTATAATTACGTCAATTTCATTCAGTTAAGGCAAACATAAAAGATTTGATTAAAAATTTAACTAATTTTATTATTTAAAGTAAAATATGAAATTATAAAATCTTATGATTTAGATCAAAATTAAAAAAATTTATACAATATTAGAAATTTTAAAGATAATTATGTTTTGATTTTATAAAAATATTTCTTGAAAAATATAAATGTCTAAATAATTATTTATTCAAAAAGGGGCATTTTGGTTAAAAAAATAATTTAAAGTCAAACTTAACAGTCAATTACGGTTTGAGTGGATAGAAATAAAATCTTAAATATAAGAGAGAGGTTTGTGTAACATATGTTTTAACTGTAAGGGAGGTTTATATACGTTTTCAAAATCAAAGAGAGGTTTCTGTAATTGAGATAAAATAAGAGGTTAATCAATGTATTTTACTCTTTTTTTATTGATCCGAAGAATCTTCAAAATATACTTCCAAAATATATATAGTGCATTTACTTATTCTTAAGAGGCTAAAAACATTAGCTTTCTGTTTCTTCTCTGAACTGAAAAAAAAAAAATTTAGTTTTCGAAGTTCTTTCCCCTAAATAAAAACACCCAAGTCCCTCCCAGACACTGTATTTAATTATATATTATAACAAAATTATTACTTCCCTTGCAGAAAAAATACAAAATGATATATGAACAGAAGAGAAATGGAAAACAAATACTAATTACGTACCTTCAAGTTGAACCTCTCCTCCACCTGCGCAGTTTGGCCACATTTATAGCAACGATCACGTACACTTTGTCATATATGCCATTCATTAACCTAAAATAGGCATATCTGAAGGATTTGTTCAGAAATATTAGGCTGCAAATTCCCCAAAATCCTGTTACAAATCCGATGGACGAGCTGATAAAGAAACCTCGACCGAAAATTTGCTCATCTTCTTCCGAATTCTCATCATTTGGATGATCTTGTGTTGGGCTTGTGGGACATTTTGGAAGGGGAGCACCACATAGATGAGCATTTCCCTCATAAGTAGAGGGATCAAAGCTTTGAAGTTGAGTGCCATGAGGAATTTCTCCTGACAAATTGTTGTGTGATAAATCCATCACACCAAGACGATCCACTTGTGAAAGTTCTGAAGGAATGTGTCCAGATAAGTGGTTCCTTGACAAATCAAGAAAGTCCAGTGACTTCAGTTGTCCAATGGTGGCGGGGATTTGTCCACTGAGCATGTTTCTTGACATGTTTAAGGCGACCAATTCAACAAGATCCATCAGTTCACTTGGAATTTCTCCCGTCAACATGTTGCAAGAGAGGTCGATGGTTTTAACTAATCTCAATATACTTTGGTATTTGGACACCTGACCTTTCCATACCAGTGTTGCAATGTCCTTTGTTGAGGGACGACCAAGATAACCATACCGTACTATTGCATCAAAATTTGTTTGATTCTTCAAACCAGAAAGATGGTTGAGGCATTTTGGCAAGCTTCCAGAAATATTATTCATCGAAAGGTCAAGGATTTGAAGTTGAGGAAGATTACAAATATTGAGTGGTAAGCTTCCAAAAAACATGTTGGATCTCAAAATGAGGACGCTTAGCTTCTTAAGCCCATCTCCAATCCAGGATGGTACTAATCCCGAAAAATCATTTCCGACAGCATCAAAAACCACTAGCTCTGTGCATTTATTTAGAGACAAAGGTATTTCACCTGAAAATTTATTGAATCCTAAATGTAAGGATTGCATATATACCAATGAACCCATTGATGTTGGAATATCTCCGTATAGGCTATTGTTGGCAACATTAAGAAGGGCTAATGGTCTAAAATATTTCCAACAATTTGGAAGCACTCCTGACAGTTGATTGTTTGAGAGATCTAAGATATTTAATTCCGCCATCTTGTTTGGACATAAGAAAGTACTAGCATCTGTGAATTTATTATTAGATAGAAACAATGCAAAGGTTGTATGTGATAAATTTGATGGAATTGAGCCTTCAAACAAATTTGAGCTCAAATCCAGATCCACAGTACGAGATCTATTTCCAAGTTGGAAATTTTGTATTTCTCCAGTCATTTGGTTGTGTGAAAGGTTCAAGGATTGAAATGACAAATCCCAAAACCAACTTGGCATCATACCAGAAATTTCAGCATTTGAAATATCTAATGACCAACTCGACTTTTGGGTTCGAAGCCAATTTGGAAAGCCAGGGCCCAACTTACATGATCTTAAATGAATGTCGGCGAACTGAAAAGGGGGGATCCAATCAGGATTGATTTTAAATTCCAAGTTGTTAAGAGACAAGTTCAAGTACTGTAGCTGAGAGAGTCTCAAGAAATGAGTTTCAGTTATGACACCGTGCAAGAAATTATTACTAATGTCTAGACACTGCAGCTTTGACAATAATCCAATGCCATCATTTACAGTTCCGTTGAGTTGATTGTTGGAGAGATATAATAATTCCAAAAATGAGAACCGTGAGAAATTAGGTACTGACCCCGTAAACTGATTATAAGATAAATCTAAGATCTGTAGTGATATGTTGGCACAATGGTCAAATGATGCAACGAAGTCATCTAATTGTCCACTCAAGGAGTTGTGAGATAGATCTAACTCTGTTAAGTTGCATAAGGCCAAGGATTTGGGTATGCCACCTTCAAGCTGGTTTTCCTGAAGGTAAAGTGTTTGCAAGCGCGACAAATATCCCAAATTGAGAGGTATGTTTCCTTTCAAATTTGAGAAGGAGAGACCGAGATATTGCAATCTCTTTAAAGAAAGAATGGAGTCTGGGAATTTAGGTACTGACACCGTAAACCGATTATAAGATAAATCTAAGATCTGTAGTGATATGTTGGCACAATGGTCAAATGATGCAACGAAGTCATCTAATTGTCCACTCAAGGAGTTTTCAGATAGATCTAACATTGTTAAGTTGCATAAAGACAAGGATTTGGGTATGCCACCTTCAAGCTGGTTTCCCCCAAGAAAAAGTGTTTGCAAGCAGGACAAATATCTCAAATTGGGAGGTATGTTTCCTTTCAAATTTGAGGAGGAGAGATCGAGATATTGCAATCTCTTTAAAGAAAGAATGGAGTCTGGGAATTTAGCTGGAGAGAAATTTTGGCCACTAAGGTCCAAATAATTCAAATGATGCAATTTAGCCAATGACGGAGAAATTGTGCCTTCCAAACGGTAGGAAAAAAGATCGAGTGTATCCACATGCCCCGTTCGGCTGTCACAGGAAACACCATCCCATGTGCAACAATCTCTGTGGTTCTCTGAACTTCCCCAGGAAGAGAGGGAGCCATATGGATCAATAAAGCCACGTTTGAGACAAAGAAGGGAGAGTCGTTCCTTGACTCTGCACTTGACAGTAGTGTTGCCAACTGCGAGTGTCCCGCAAGAATAATGCACTAAAAGCAGTAGGCAAGCAACAACAAACCTCATATCTACCATCCTTACACTATGGATATAAGGTTATGATGCAGTTTGCTATGCGAGAGAACAGGCACCACAAAGGCCATGTATTTATAGGCAAGATTTTGTTGTCTTCATGATAGTATCGGAGGATATACAGACTCTCAATATAAATTCAAAATTATATATAATAGGCTTTAAATTTTTTAAATCGAAGATCTTGAATAAATAAACAAAGAGATTTGGATATATGAATGATTTGGAATTGTTTGCTACACCATATATATCATTTTAACTTAATAGTGATTAAAAACAGAGACAAAGTATTCGTTGGCCACCACGAGAATTGCCCTTTGAATTATTGCATAGTAAATTTCCACACAGTTTCATTTTCTTCCATAGTGTTTTTATCCACCATGAGAGTGACACTTCATTCCAAAATTGAAGGAATAAGAATATATGGACTTTTATCTTTTGCCAAAGAATATAGGGAAAATTACACTCAGGTCCCACAGAGCACAATTAATATCGAAAAGGTCCCACGAAATCAAGAAATGATTCTGAAGTCCCCAGGGACCTGTGTGTAATTAATTCTAATTGTGAAATTACCTACTTACCCCTGTTAATTTTATTGCAACAATTCGTTTACAATCTCAACAGTGGCTGTTAACAACCCGAGAAGATGTGATTGACAACCTTGACAGTGCTCATGACAACTCACTCTGTGGAATATCAGGGGCGTTGTTGAGGTTGTTAACCACCTCTTCTCGGGTTGTTAACAGCCACTGTTGATGTTGTAAATAGGTTCTAATTTTATTGCAGCAATTCGTTTACAATCTCAACAGTGGCTGTTAACAACCCGAGAAGACGTGATTGACAACCTCGACAGTGCTCATGACAACTCACTCTGTGGAATACCAAGGGCGTTGTTGAGGTTGTTAACCACCTCTTCTCGGGTTGTTAACAGCCACTGTTGAGGTTGTAAATAGGTTCAAATTAACAGGGGTAACTACGTAATTTTACAATTAGAATTAATTACACACAGGTCCCTGGGGACTTCAGAATCATTTCGCGATTTCGAGGGACCTTTTTTATATTAATTGTGCTCTGTGGGACCTGAGTGTAATTTTCCCAAGAATATATGACTTTGAAATATTGGAGGACACATGACTTCCAATATATTACCTCCGATCCTAATTATAAGACCCAGTTGACTTATTTGAGGAGATTAAGAAAGTAAGTTAAGTTACTTATTTGTAATAAATAAGTGTTATCATTCCTAAAATATCCTTGCTAGTTAAGTATATTAGCTAGAACTATTATTATTAGAAGGATTATCTTGGAAAAAAATGCATAAATATGAGAGATAAAATGAATCAGGGTCTTATAATTAGGATCAAACAAAAAGTCAAATGGGGTCTTATAATAAAGACCGGAGGTAGTACAAGACGATGAATTTAAAATACTATATATATTGATATTGGAGAGTGCAGTGATCCATTTTTACATTCCAGTTTTAAAAATAGCAAGGCTAAAGACTTTAAATTGTTAAAATTTGAACTTAAACAGACATTATAGCTCTATTTTTTTTAGAAAATATTAATTTTTAAAAATCTGTTGTGTGTTTTCTTTTTCTGGTAGTAACATTACTTTTTTTACATGTAATAGCAAATTAAATTAGTCAAGATCCAAAGAAGAAAGCAGAGTTGTCGTCAGAGAGACTTCAAAGACTTCCAAAATGAAAGAGGCGTTCAAAATTTGATTTGGAAACTTGAGTTTCGAACTAAACTTTGCATTTAGATTAAATTCTAATTCTAATATCTGACAAAATTGAAAATAAAGTTGACATTTTTCAGCGAGGCGAAAGACTCAAGCTCTTCATTTATCTAACAAAAACATCTGCGTGTTCCCAAAATTTAAGCAGTATTAGAAACAATTATGAATTATATATAATCTGTATTCAAAATATACTTTTGCTGAATAAGAAGTTGTATTAATGCTCATACTTTTGAAAGTTGATTTGCACCTAACGCCATACGAAAAGTGTCATTTGCGTGCTTCTTCCTCTTCAAGTGGAAGACTTTGACATTTTGGACGTGGACTTGGAAATTCCAAAGTGCATGTTCCCCCGTCAACAACGTGCCCGACCTTTTTAGTATATACTCCTTTAATTTTTTAATATAAAACCTAATTATTTAATTGATTTTAGTCTCAAATATAAGACTTATTTCTCATATTTATTAATTTCTTTTCTAAATTATCTCTATAGATACTCTCTCAACCATAATTAATTAGAAGATAATGGGAGAATATTAAGAATGATGATTATGGTGTTTTAGGAAAACCATATCATATTTTTTATAGTTAACTAAGTTATCTAACTTTCTTAATCTAATCAAATTAATTAAATAGGTCTTATATTAAAACTGGAGGAATATTTTGTTTTTAAATTCTTACACGGATAAATTCTTTTTTTTTTTTAACCTTGATTCCACGGGTAAATTCAGAGCATATGTTCTTTAGAATTATAAAGTGATTGGACACGCACATGCGCACATTTCATTAACTTGATTAATATAAAATCTTACATAGAATTGATTAAAATTGTAAATAATTCAAAAAATTTCATATTTTTCAAGGAGGAACAATTACAATATTAAAATTTGACTTCATTTTAATCTGTTTAATTTTTTTTTTTAATTTCTGGAACAGTATTTTACTGGTTTCAAATTCTAGGGAGCGGACTAGATCAACTCTCAGAAAATATTAGCTTTTTGTTAAATAATGAACTTTTGTCTGGCATCATTCTCACTTAATTTTTGTAACAATCCAACATATCCTCATCTTTAATTTATGAGCGAGATGGGAGGAGAAAGTTTCTTATAAGCCTTTTTTCCCCCCCTACAACTTCATTCAAATCCGATAAGGTTTTTCATTAATATGAGATATTTGATGATTTTAATAGTTTGTAATTTTTTGTGATTTATCATAGGAAAATGTAGATAAATATTGTCTATAATATTTTTATTATTTTGTACATAATTTTAAATTATATTATTTTAAGTGAGACCCATTTTACCAACAAGCGGTGCCCCTGCTAGTCCAGTGGCTGGTCCAGTTATAAAAGGGTTGGTAGCACAGTACTTCATTAATTTGCCTTTGGATATAAAGTTATTAAGAAAAGGATATTCGGCTTTGATGATGCGCCAATCAGACTAGGAGAGGCCTCCGGATAGAGTGTGGGCCGCTGTACAGGATCATAGCCGAACAAAGCCAAGAGTGCCTCATCCTCCCGCACTCTTCCCCTGGAACTGAAAATGCTTGTGGATAATATCATACTCTTCACTATTTGAACGCCTGACGATGATGATCACCGAACCAACCATGGCCGCCCGATTCTCCGTCCCTGCCGTATTTTGTACACTCTCTCTCTCTCTCTCTCTCTCTTGTTATCTCTGAACCCTTTACTTTGCTCATTTATA